GAAGCAGGAGACAAAAGATCAAGAAACACAGTCTGAAAGTGCATCAGTACGAACGTAGATTATAACTTATGCATACCATGTGTATGTATGTCTGTGCATATTTCACAGAAAAACATTTAAAGGCCAAAAAAACAGGGAAGATGAAGGTTAGACAGGGAGGGAAATAGCAGGGAGGGAAGATGATGGGAGGATGAAGGACAGAGGTGAGAGGAGGAAAAAGGGAGGAGTGTGTGAAAGAGGAGGAGAGAATAAGCAAAGGGAGTTCAGCAAGGTTTTCATCTTGGCGCTGCTGATGTAATCCCTAAAATTAGATGCAACAACAGCCACAGATAGTGCCCCACTGGTACACTGCGCTGCCCAGTGTGCAGTACTCCACACACACTCGTGCACAGTCAGGATGTCTGCAGGTCTCAGAAGCCAACTTTAAGAATGACATTTAAGGCCAAATCTTAACTGTGACATAAAGAAATTAAAAAAAAGAAGCAAATTACATGGTTAATGAAATTTGGGACTTTAAATGGCCAAGACAACAGCAACAGTAGAACTGTATTGTGACATGCACCTACACAGAAATAAATGCTTTGCATGCTGCACTACAAACCCATCTACACTGTTGTAGCTTAAAGAATCTTTGACACTGTAGATCAGTTCAGGTCCTTCTCTATTAAATGGCCTCTTGAGCATCAAACACCATTATAGTCCAGCAGCAGGACTGAGGTTTGGGCTTTTACTGGCCATTTAAAACTTTCGGTCCAAGACGCTGTTGCGCATTTTGAGCACGAGTCACAATATAAGGAAGTAAACAACTCACTGACTGGCACTTGATCGCTGTACTAGACCCAGGCAGCTGTTTGGATGAAAAATATTTTGGTCTTTTCAGTTGGGTTTTTTTTTTTTTTTTGCTTCTTGCGTCTGATCTATTGCTCTTCCCTTTTTCTTGCTTGGCCCCCCAGAGCAAGTTAAAATAATGCCATGTGTTTCTTGCAGGTAATATGAAGCCTTGTTAAACCCATTCAGCCTCAACCTCATCCTCCAACCTCCATCCGTCACATTCCCCTCTTAACCCCTCTTGACCCTTAAAACTCTCAACCCATCTTTCCCATTAAATTCCCACCTGACATTCCCACAACCTTCACCTTTCTGCTCTATCCCCTGATCCCCATAGCTCACTCTTCCTCCTTCTCCTGCAGAACCACTAATTTCTTTTCACTGCCTATCAACAGCCACTATTTAAGTAAAAGAAGTGGGTTTTCACCTGCCCTGTAACAATAAATGACCCTAACATAACAGGACTTTAATGCAGCTGCTGATCAATACCAATCTATGGCTTTTATAACTCACTCTCATACAGTTTCATCAAGGTCTATTACCTCGTCACTGTTATTGTCTGTAAGAAATCTGTTCTAATTATCTAGACAATTCATGTCTCTGGTGAAAACGTGCCTTCATGCCACCTCATGCTTGTTACTCTAAGCCCTGGCTGCTCCTCAAGTCAACAAGTCAACAAGCTGATAACTGATACAGAGTTTGAACGTTCACATAATGTACGTGACACAATGTGCATCAATACGACAATGGTCACAGCATTCAATAAAATATTGTTACTAATCATGCAAGCCTATTTACAGCTGCACCATTTTTCTGAGTGAAAACACATTTTGTTCCTTATTCTTCTCCTTCCCACCTCTCCCTGGGGCCCTGCTTGGTCTAGTAGTGCCGGTGCCAGTTAGAGGCCCTTGGGGCTTTGCTGACCCCACCTGCATTCTGATAGAATGAGACCAGATGAGCTTTGGGATGGACTGAATGCATTAAAGCAGCAAAGGGCTTTAAAACATAAACAGCCCAGAATGTTTCAGCTCTGCAGAACAACTGGAAGGACAAACAACAAGGCAAACATACAAAAAAACCTCCATACTGCGTTAGAGCAGTAAGTGTAAAAAGTAATAAAGAGCATTCTCTCTCTCACACACACACACACACACACACACACACGCTAGCGACAATGAGAACGAAGCCAAGAATACTGTGGGAAAGTGAACAACTTCATCTTTTTAAGATGCCGGCCAGAACTCTATCAAACAGAGCAACACAACTCGATCGGTGCTGGAAATCCACTTTCTCAACAAACCCCCACAGTGGCTGATGCTCCGCAGAGTTCCCAGACATGTTGATTATTGAATTTAAAGGAGACGCAGAACAAGCAATTTCACTAGTAAAAGTGGCTGAGCAAGGCAACAGCAACAAAGCAAGAGCAACTTCTCCTCACCACACACTGGTGACCTTCAAACCTGAGAGGAGAATGAACAATGATGCAGAGGGACTTTGTCATTACTCTTCATACCAGGTTAACACTGATGACAAAGCATCTGTATGAGTCACACCTATGACCTACCCACAAGCATGATCAACACAACCTTAAATTTAGACTGTAAGCTGTAGCATTAGTGTAACTTGAGTAGTGTCTCTGAATGACTCATGCAAGCTCTTCAGATTTAATTAAAATGATACTACCACAGAGAGCATCATCAAGGTAAAGTCATTGCTAATGGATCCCTAAACAGAAACAGGTATCGTATAAATTACGAGTATCCACATTGCTGTGTTAAAGCTAAAGGGCCATAAAGTAGCTATACTGTACAGACTGAAACTTTGCCAGGGTCATTTAGTAGCTGTTCTGGAGGTTTCACACAATCACCTCAGCAAGATGGAAGATGCCTCCTCCACAGATCAGATCCAGCAGAAATAATGTGCTCATAAGTATTTACAGTAGCATGAGAACTTGCATGATGACACTGTAGATGGGCTGTTTTCTCTAATGGTGCCACAGCCACATTACTTTACTAGCCAAAATGTGACTTTGGGTTTATAAACTTAGTACAGACCCACCACTTGTTGCCACTATTTTGGGCTATGCAAGTGTGTTTATGTTAAAGGCTAAGGCTGGTCAATATCTATATTTTCTAAAAATAATAGTAAGGTCTATAACTTTGTAAAATGAGGAGAATCTTCAAATAATGTCGACTAGTTCCCAGAAAATGTCCATCCCCACAGCTCACTGCTGTTTAGGAACAAGGAGAATCTTCAAATAATGTCGACTAGTCCCCAGAAAATGTCTATCCCCACTGCTCACTGCTGTTTAGGAACACGTTTGGTGTGATTGGTTGCTTCCTGTGTGCACAGATTTCTAACCAGAGAGATACTGTAACAGAGTCATGTCCTGCTTACCCAGCCAATGTGGGCTATAATAGCCTGACTATAATAAAGAGAGTGTCTTGAGCAGCTTTCACCTGCCTCCCTGTCTACCTACAGGAATTTCATTAGAAGTTTATTGGTAGCTGAAGCTTGTCATTAATAATGCAGGTTTGCACACTTAATTCACGCATGGCCCAGGTTGGCGAGAGCAAGGAAAGGCATGCTGAGATGTTTTGAGGAAAACGAAGAAGCAGACATCAGACGTCTTGCCTTCCGACACAGGAAGCTAGCTAACCACAGATGTTGCAAGAGCCACGGTGTTTCCGGTGTGTACCAACACTTAGCATCCTCTTTGCTTCAAAACAGCAAAGAGGATGCTGCTTCGTGCTCTGCACATTTCAACAAATTCAAGACAAATATAGATAGCAGAGGGCCTGAAACATTTCAAAATAAATCACTATTTTTCATTAAGTGTTTTCTCTTATTCTCATACTGTAATGTCCCCCGGTTACCGAAACAACCTTTTATTAAACTCTGAAATTAGAACAACTTGGGTGTCTAAGCCCGCCGTGACTCTTTGCTGCTTTATACCGGTGCTGTGCATACTAAACTCTCCTGTGCAGGTGGATGTGCCTGCATCATGTTAAAATCATGATCCTGGGGTGCTATGGAGTAGCCTGGCTGTAAAAATCCCTTCAAGCAGATGTCCCCCTGCACGGCAAATGAGGTGATGGGTTCATCTGTCAACTGTATCTGGGCAGTGGGAGAAAGACAGCAACCCAATGAGGCATCTAATGTCTTAATGAAGTGACTTTGTGTGCATGTACTGCTCTGTTCTGTGCAACACGCACATCTATGTATGTGTGTGGTATGAGTCTGAGTCATTAGTGAATCCCAGTGGTCTGTTATAGTAGTGAGAGAGTGCACAAGACCGCCTGTCTCTCACCCTACTGGAAGAAGAATCAGACTTCCAGATCCATGGGAATCAATCACAGAGTCATTATAGGAAAGAAAGTCACACTAAATCATAAAAAGAAGCTTGATCTAACAAGCAGCTTGTTTTGTTCTGCTTCAGAAAAGAAACATACATCCAACAAGCCTTCTTTAAAAAGGCACTTTTAATCATCAAATGATCGATCAATCAATATATTAGTTAACTTAAAGCATTTAAGAGAACACACCTTCTTCCCCACAGCAGCAGACACAATACTTGAACTTGATTATTTTTGCTGGGATCTACCATCTATACATGCTAGCAGTCAAACATATGGTCATAGGATGAGCCTTGAATGGATGTTGCTTCTGTAGAAGTCCCACATTTTATTACAAGGCAGTAGAGTGTGTGTCTGTGTGAGCTAATAACCAGAGCACACTAGACACCCAGAGAGCTACTGTAGCTCACAAATCATCAAATCCCTGGTCAGAAAAAACGGACGCCATCAAGAATCGTGGTAAACCCATCTCATCTCGTCAGGTTTTAATGTCAAAACTTAATATTTCATCCTCCATTTGTTAAGCAGCCAGGTGCTGTTCCCACCATGCATCTGTTTCTTTAACAGTTGCAGCCCGTCCTAACTGCCACCCACAGTGTCAGCAGACAGCAGTGTGTGGCTCCCTCAAAATGACCTGCTTTTCTCAATGCTGCATTTTTCTAAACAACAGGTGCCTGAAAAGGGGTTACTCACATTCACTAAAACCCAGAAGTAAAGCAGGGACATCAACAAAAAAAACCCTGATAGATGCTGAAATTGTGGAAGACAACAGGAAGGAAGAGCGACAGCCAAACGTGTAAAGAAGGTTTCATTTACCTTGTTGTTGACGTAATCCTGAAGATGAGACACCAGCAGGAACATGGAGAGGGAGGAGAAAGCCATAAGACACAGTCATAATGGGACAACAGTGTAAACTCTGTATGCCTGAGTGCACATCATATTCTTCTAGTCTATATTCTCACTTAAATAGATAAATGACCATGTCAACAGCCCCATTCATTCACTTAACAGTGAACAGCATATAATACATGCCACAGCACTGTGATCACTTCTATTAGGGATGTTTTCCCTTTGCCAGATGTGCCTCTAGCTCATTCTGCCTTCCATTCTTGCTCCAATTTAAAGCAGAACTAATGTTAATTTTCTGTATTTCAAGGGCATTCACATGGCTCCGCTTGTTTTTGTCCTGTTTCTTTGGAGTAGTGCTGTGCTAGCACATCAGCCTGTTTAGCCTTTACATAATAAATGCAGTCACAGAAAAAAATGTGGTGGGATTCAGCAACGCTGAAGGCTAGAAATGTAATTTTAAAAAGTGGAACAATCACCAAGAGATTGCAGAGCCAGGTAGGGTCGGCCGAGGACACTTTAAGCTGTCCATTAAGCGCCTTTGTAACACCGCAGGGAGCTTTGCATGAAATGGGGAAAGTGTGTATCTGAGCTAAGCTGACGTTTGTGTGAGTGTTCGCATTTGAGACTGTGTGTGTGTGGCAAAGCGTGGCTTCTAGTGATTAGTCAAAACTGTAACTGACACAGTGCTGGTCCCAGTGATCCTATCAGAGGGAGGGAAACTCAACTTCATAGTGAAAGGACACACGCACACACACACAAAGATTCAATACTTTTCTTACTGTTCAAAAATAATCAGGCACAAATCATGTCTCAGTATCAGGTGGCCTTAAGTGTGTTTCTCCCTACAAATTTCCCCTTTTAGTTGGTCGAAAAACGTAGGTGGCATTATGATGTTTTTAGTGTTTAACTTTTCTGTGAGCATTGTAACATACTGACAAGACTGTTCAGCAGCACTGTGCGATAAATATTAACTGTCACAGTGTTTTCTATCTGCTTTCTACCCTTATAATCTGCACCATATCTGTCTAACAGAAAACACAAACGGTTGATGACACTGAACATATCATTTCATGTGTAGACCATGCACTTTTACGTATTACAGAAAGAGAAGCAGAATTTCACACGTTGGAGCTGAGGACACTTTCTAACCTGTGTCATTGGTTATTAGCAAGACAAAAAGGATTAGTTAGTGTGTCTGCAGGACAGTCAGACCCATTAAATATATGAAACCTAGTTGGCTAAAAAGCTAAGGTTAAGGGGCTTAAAGTGCAACCATGTTTGGTTAAGCTCCTACTATAGAAGCTACTGACTGCTCAACCTTGTGTCACTGTGACAGCTGCATTCAACATGTAAATACCAAACAGGGTTAGCATTAGCCACTGCTGTTAGTAATGGTGTCGCTCCTACCGTCCTGTAGCCGGCGGGTTCTTGGCCATCTGTGATGAGTTCCCGCTCTCCTCTGGGGTTGACCCTCCTGAAGCGCCGCCTGGACCTGCGCTGGGATTCCTCTCTCTGCAGAAACCCGTCGTCCCCCTCGCTGCCGTTATCCACCTGCAATACACAGTCAACACCCTCCTCAGAACAGCAGCTTCTAAGGGATTTGCACCCACAGCCTTCAGATGTGTGGGGACAGCTGGAAGAGTGATCCTCACAGTCTGAGACCTGAGAATATGGCTCGGAGCAGCTGCGTCTTAGCAAGTCAGACTTTTGGATCAAGTTCACACTGGTCAATCTCACATTCTGGGTCTCAGTTTCTGATTTCCGATTCTTATAATCCAAGTTTTGGGTACTGTGCTCCGTTAAGTACTGAAAGTCTGAGATGTGATTCCCTTCCTTCCCTTCTGTCTTCTGTTGCTCTGCTTCATGCCCTGGAGATTCTGGGATCTGGCTCTGACCTTCTGCTGGCTCCTGGTTGAACATCCAGTTCTTCCAGAGCGCAGAGAGCCGGTGCCAGCGGAACACACTCATCCGGACACAAGGACAGGATCAAAACAAAGCATAAAAGCAGGAAATACCACAAGAGGAGAGGAAAAAAATAGCAGGGAAATACTTCTATACAAAAGATGAATAGAAGTGTTGAGTCCACATTTTAAAAAAGATCCAAAATCACAAGGGCTCTTGCGACCTTACATCCTTTGGGGAAAAGCATCCAGACTAAGAGAAAAGAGCCAAAGTGAATGAAAACAACAAATAAATCAATAATGAGGACAGACGAAAATAAAATTTGCCTCTTTCTGCTTCCAATTTGGTGAAAGTTGTCCTCGTCTGAGGGCCAGGCGCAGAGTTCATCTGTCCAACACGTCGCATGCTCACAGACTTACTCACATGCTTTCCTCATGAGCATGAGCTTTCGTTCTCTCTGGGTGTCTGACACGTGCACAAAGCACACCATGAGCCCACAGTTTCCTCCAGGAAACTGTAAATATACAAATATCCTCGCCAGGCAGAAAAAAACAGCGCAGCACACAGGTTCCGGCGATACAAAACATTCCCCATAGTCTCTGTGTGCTGGTCTGTTGTTGCAGGAGGAACCTGTTTACTTTCTCCATTACATAATGGATAAGTAAGTCAAGAGCTGTACTATGAGAGTAATGACAATACTTTAAAAAGATGTTTTTTTATGTGTTACGCAGCTGAGACTTTTGTCATTTAAAAACAAACAGTTTTTATTGGCTTTGACGAGTTGGTTTCATTTCTTAACAATGTCCTGTTTATTCTTTTTGAAGACACTTTTTGTGTTAGAGCATAAAACACTCTGCCAACTATACTGTATAATAAAATTCCAACTCTTCTCTGTTTTTTGTCTAGCATTGTTTTCCCATGTGCATCTGTTGATTAAAACATTTTTAAATGGTCTTTGTTGTGGGTCTGTCCATTTATCAATCAATCTATTGCAACTATATTATAGTATAAAGCATGTACTGTGTTAGTCGTGTTAGTCTAATTCACCACTTCTCACTCAGCTGTAATGTCATGTGACTAGGGTCATGTCATCAGCTGCTGATGCCTAGTTCCAACTTCATCCTTGTCTGTGTCCAGAATATTGATGGGATAATTTGGTGCCTTTTGTGCCACATGTTTCAGTTTGCCAGGTTGGAAAACCACTGCCTTCCAGTTTAACAAGCTCTCTGTCAGTGTGTCTGTCAGTCTGAGAAGCCGAGAGAGGAATGAAATGAACAGGACCCCTCTGATGGTTTATGATATATTGTTTTAAGCTGCATCTTCATGCTACTCCTTTTTGTCTCGTGCACGCTTCTGTACATTCACCTTCTTGATCCTTCATTATTCTCTGGATGATTGTGAGGCTCTTACTCTTCTGCCAAGTGTACATGCATTCATTCATGCACAGTAGGCATTACTAGTATCAGACACAGAGTGACTGCGGGAGCTGAGACTCCAATCAATTTTACAATCCTGTATTTTTAATAAAAACTGTTTCCAACCAAACTTTAAACTTATATGGTGTCAAAGAGTAAGACGACATACTCCACAGACTGTGTTCCTATAAGTGACCACTGCGCGTTTTTCCCCCGAGGCCTCAGGTCAGTCATGTGTATTCACAGAGTAGTCCTAAATATACAAACCCATGATCAGCCACAGAGAGTTACAGTATGAGGAGATACGACTACGTGCAGACTCCAACATCACAACCTATGGTCAAAACAGACTGGGGAAAACACTGTCAGTCAGTAAACTGTTGTAGGATCAACTAATGATTATTTTCATTATAAATTAATCTGCAGCATTTTCTTGGTTAATCATCTGATCAATAAAACATTATAAGACAGCAACAAGTCCAAAGTGACATATTCGAATGCTTGGTTGTGTCTGACACAGTGAAAAACCCAAACATATTCCGGTTACTGTGACACAAATCACAGAAAAACTGAAAATCTGAGTCCTGTATTCCTACATGTAAGATATAATAAAACTCCTGATAACTAAAACTTATCAAAATACTACTGTAGGACTATAACTCTCAAAGACCGTCTCATACCTGCATCAGAAAACAACTCAAAAAAACATTGCAAGGGAAATGATTAATGCAGAGATTTTCTGTCGAAGATGAAATAGGGTCCAGTTGCTACGGCACAGGAACAACCTTGGAAATCTCCTGGAAATCACAAAATAACTACTGCACTGTAGGTAGTTTAGCTGTAATGGACTGAAACAACTGAATTCACGGGGGGAATGTCAGAAACGTAGCCAACTTTCATGCTTGTCCTGTGACAATATAGAGTAATTATCTTCCTGTCTCACAACATATGTATCTGTCTGGCTGCTAGAGTAAATATAACCCTTACTTTTTCTGTGACCACCAGTTCTGTCAGCCACCGAGAGCTCAACTTGTGTTCCTGGCTAATGGTCATGGCCGTAATGTGACCATATTTCCTGTCTGCTCATTGTACTCGTATCTATCTGTCACTTACTTGCTTTCATTCTACTCCAATCCCAACACAGACGTGCGCACACGCTCAAACACAACCCCACCCTGTCAGTCTGCGAAGGTTACTCCTGTCCATCCTGTGAGCAGAGTCATGATGACAGCAGTAGATGGCCCTCTCTCTACTATTCCCATGGGCCTAATTAACAGATTGACTGCAGTGCGGTGTGACCAGACCACTGTCCCTCTGCTCTTGTGTTTTTATATATTTACCTCAAAGAGTGCACGTGCTGCATATTTGTGTTGTGACAGCTTTTCTTGTCATTTTGTATTTTTCTTTGATTTGGGGAAAATGCATGCTTTTGTTGTGTTTGTCAGTTCAGCTATTGTTGTTCAAGCTGACTATACACAGTTGTTCTCCTATTTATGCCAAACAGGCTGCTGTTGCAGAAAATCTTGAGCAGCTGAAGGAATAATTGGTATTTTTTGCTTGAAAAATTATCAGGTCAACTAGATTTGAGGCTAGAATCTGTGAAAAGGTTCTGGACCCTTCTAAAATATAGGTGAAGTTGGTTCATTTTCAAGGGTAAAACAACTCTTATTTTGTATGTAGCCCTGAACAACACCACCTCACATTAATCTTAGACATGTTGTCAAAGTCTCCTGGGAGCTGTAGGTGTTCGACAGAAGCCAGCCTGGCAGTGGAATAACTAAAGGTTGTTTTAAGAATGAGTTTGCTTTTGGAAAAACATCTTTTATTTTTGCTCAGCTCTGTGGAAAGAGCAAAGCTGTATAAATTCATATGTGGTAGTCATGATGTGCCAATTTCAAAATACAGCACTGCCGACTTCGTTTTTGACAGGAGAGCAGTGTGGCGAGTCTCACTGTTTATTAGCGTGTCCCAGGTTTACAAGGCGAGAAACAGATCAGGTAAAAAATACTAAAGGATTCAGCCAAATGCTGTTGAATTTGAGAATTATTCAACATTTAAAACATAAAAGAATTAAATGATCTCACCGAATTTTCTAAAATAATGATGGCAAATGAAATGCGTCTAGCTGGGTTTGAACACGGCTGCGGTCCTAAACGGCCATGCATATGCACATGCAACTGAAATGTGACAAGTGCTGCAGAGGAACAAGGTGTTGAAAACGCCAAACAAATTCTGATCTGACTGTTCTGATAGGACTTGCCTGGTCAAATATCGGCTTGGAATCAGATCCATAACGAAATGGCCCAAATTTCATTTGAAAAAAAAATCCAATTAGGTTTCTTCAAACACCTGTGAACAGATCACATCTGAGTGACTTGGAGGAAACTAAAATCATGCAATGGGAACGCAGCTGAAGGCTCTGATCAGCCGAGTTTCCAGAGCCTCTCCTTGGAGATTACCTGTCTATCTGATCCATGCCAACTCTCTCGACTTTTCCAGGATGACACCCTCAGTTGATAGTTTAATCTAAACTCAGTCAAGTTTAATTCAAACCAATTTTATTCCCCCAGCCGCAAACTCTTTTTTAATAAAGCTGATTTTTATCTCTTGCTCTCCAGGCAACTGAGTCAGCTGAGCTTGTTGGCTCTTTTCCTGCAACTTCACATTCACACAGTGTCACACAATCAACCCTAGGAGTTTATCATGTTTGCTCCTCCTATAGCCAAGGCCTCTGAATGGACCCACAGGGACAGTTTAGGATGAAATGCTTTGCTGAAAGGGCACCTAACTATTATTACCCTTTTTCATGGCAGGACCTTCAAGGAAAATTATGTTTTAATGTCCCTGAACCTGTCGGGGCAGAGCTGCAGCCATGAACACTGCTGACTGAAATGCATTAATGTTTAAGCAAAGATAAGTGGTAGACTTCCCAAGTAGTCTACAACAGAGCTGAGGGAATAAAAAGACACTGGGACTGCGTGAGTGTGAAAAATCTCATCAAGCTAATTAGAAAGAACATGATAGCTCCATTCTGCTATCAGTCTAATGTATCTAACCACCATGGTTCTCAAATGCAGTAGTTAAGCAAAAAGCTCTGTTGGTCTCATTTTAGTGTCTTTTGGGTTTAGCTGCTGTGGCTCCTTGGGACGACTTGATCCAAAAGGTGCCATGGATTCCTGCCTGAGCTCTCGAAGACTCCTTCAATAGTGTTATTTTATTTATAAAGCCATTCTTGGCCTTTTACCCGTTTGCTTGTGCACTCACATGGAAAGGAAAGTTGTGAGCTCTTATGCTCTTTGATCACAGAACATGATAATGCTGCCAAAGGTTGACACTGAATTTGGTAAGCGAGCCTTTTTATGCTCCTCCTCATACATACAATATTGCATTTATTTGTTTCCTTGGCTAGATTTAAAACTTCATTGCATGGAGTCAGCACTTGCCATTTTCAGGATGTTTGTTAATTCTATTTGTTTTAATGCTTTAAACTAATGCATTGGACTCGGTGCTTTTACAGGTTTTATTTTTATCAACTGCTTGCTTAACTAATGAGAGGGTGTTATGGATTTATTTATATTGTTTGTATCGGTGTTGTTTGCCATGACCGATGCTGTTGCCAGTGTTGGACAGGACACCCAGTTTAATTCTCAGTGAGGTTTTTCTGGTTAAATAAAGGTTAAATAAACATGGCAAATATGAATCAAGCTAATTTAGCTTAGCACTAAGACTAGAAATAGGGAATTCCCTATAATTTTGAACTTTCTTTTGTGTTGATATGCCAGCACTATTAATGGTGTCAATGAAAACTGAATGACAGTTAATTACAGAATCAGTTGTGCAAAAACTTTTCAAAAGTACTATTTTTGTACTTTTTGGCTGTAGAGGAAACATGACTTCCTGTAAATCAGGGGATTATTCCCAATAAAGAACTACCTGAAGCATTAATTATAAATCAGTTAGATCATTATTGTTACACAGAAGCGACAAAACTGACACTAGTGTATGTGAAAGTCTTGCACATTATTGCCTCAGTCGTAAACAAAGTGACAGTCTGTCTAAGGATGAAAAGGCGTCAGCAGTGTCCCCATGGCTGCAGTAATGACAGTTGTGTAATTCTGTACAGTCATAGCAACAGAAATCTCAGATGAGGCTTTCTTAAAAAAAAAAGCTGGGGAAGTCCTGTTAACATCTGTAACATCAGAAAATCCTTTGACTTCACTGTTACAGGTAAAGGTCACATCTGTTCAAGGTTTGTTTCTTATTACCTGTTCCAGTGCTACCTGCTGCTCTTTGTGTAAAACTTTAATGCCTATCCTGTCTCATCTGATCCCTCTAGGTCCTCAGACACAAAGACACAGGACAGGGAGAGAGCAGAAAGGACGTATGGGAAGGAGACAGCAAGACTGTGTAAGCACTGCGGCCTTGTGGAAGCACACAGAAACGCACTACATCCAAAATGTGCCACAATGACAACATGATGAATGAGTATTTTATGATCCTCTCCAAAGTTTAAGGAAAAGTTTCAGCAGTAATTACAGATGTCCAGTTTCTGTTGGTGGTCTGTGTATTTGGTGAAATGTACGCTCACTCACGTGACACTACTATGACTAACAGAACAGGTCTGAAAAAAGTAAAAAAAAAAAAAAAAAAAACTGTTCCTTTAAACACCCAAAGGCACAAACTGGCTGAAGATTAAGAGCTAATGGAAAACAGCCTAGATTTTATTTTATCAATGTCGGCTGTGAAGTTACTGCATTTAAATGAATGGCAGAATACAGTATACAGAAAAAAGTATATGACAAAGGTGCCAAGCCAAGGTGCCAAACCAGGCACATGTCACCCACATAGTACCTCTAAACCACGGGGCTGCCAGAACACTCAGGATGCCGTTATCTCCCCCAAAAGAATATCCCAACTTTTATATGTAATTTCAACAACAAAAAATAAATAAATAAATAAAGGCCAATTTGGTAAAAAGGTAAATACACTGTAAATGATACATTTAATTCTGCTTGAGTATTTAGATTTTAGAAAATGCTTGGTGAAAGATCGGGTTCCTTGCATTGGGGTACATTTGAATTTGAAGAGATACAGTTTTTACACAAGAAGAGAGAGAGGGGAGACCAAAAAGAGAGAGCAATGAAGGGGGAAGGGGGAAGGGGGGAACAAATGAGTGAAGTGTACAAGGGGAAAAAGTGACACAGACATCAAATAAAGATGAGAAAACTGGGATCAAATCAAAGAGCATAGATGGGAGAGGTGGGAGGATTAAAAAGGAACATGATTGGGAGAGAGACAAAGACAGAGACAGAAAGAGAGAGAGGCGGTCTCTACGCACCACAATCATTTCTGAAGGCTCCAACGTGATGCATTCACAGCCTCGTCTGCCCCCCAGCTGCTTGCCAAAACTGCGAAAAGAGAGCGCACACACACACACACACACACACACACACACACACACACACAAAATAGGTGTTAAAACAGAAAAGATGGTGGCCACAGGTGCAGTCAGTAACATCCGCCAGCCCACAGATGAACACAACATTTCTGAATCACAGCAATTATCTGAATGATTGAGATGGCCTGAGAGTAAATGTAAAACGATGCAGAGGGTGTGCAGCTCGTGTGGATACTGTAAGCCATTAAACTATATCCAATACATATCTGATTACCTAAGACGAATGTTAACAGCAACAAGAACTGGCATTGACATTTGGTCCAGACTCATCCATTCACTTTCTCTCCATACACACAGGACTAAGCATGTATTGAGAACAAATTGGAGAACTAATTTGAGCAGGTGAGAATTATTGTGTGTAATGCATGGTTAGTACTGTGCTTACTCTCAATATCACTCACAGTTTTGATCCTTCCTACAAGACTTTTGGCCTTACGTAAACACCTGGTACACAAAACCCACAGCTGAAGTTGTAATACTCCACGATGGTCCTTCCCAATAAAGCCAATGTGTGTCAACAGCAATAAATCTTGTAATAATGCATGTTCAAGAGGCTATTTTGTATTAACCTGCTGAGGGTCACGTATTTTTAAGCTGTCTAAAAGACATACTTTCATTAAACCCCTCCAATATTTTATGACATTTTAAAATCTGTTTTACAAAACCTTCTGATACCTAAAGGTGAGAGAAGCATGCCTGTAGAAACCAGGCACATAAGACTGGGCACTGACCGTCTCTGTGGGTATTAGAGTAGCGAAGCTGGGACGCCAGCTTGTGGTGAAGGTGTAACCACAGCAAGCAAAAGACTGCAGATCAATAAGGCCTTGTGGCGGACGCCTCAACGTAACTCCACACAGTCCACAGACTAAGAACACAGTCAGTGTTCAACCAACGTTGATGTTGGGAACATCTAGTTTCCTCATCTGCCTACTGGTGCTGAAATTCATTACTGTACTCAACAGATACTACTGAAGTATTTTAGTTTGAATGCTGGAGGAAAGAGATGTATAGTAGTTACTGCTTAACGGAGATGCGTTTTTAAATTTGGCACAACATTTGCACAGATCATTTCGGACTAGCCACGATCAGGACCAAACCACTGTCGGTAAGCTCAGTAAACAGTTTCTTTGTCCTCTGACATGGCAGGAGCAGAGCAGCTGATGCTGTGGTGGGACTGTGGAGTCGGTCTGCTCCTTTCTTGTTACATGGAGATTCGGCATGACATCCGGCAGAACACGTTTGGTGACAGTAAGAACTGCTTTTCCCTGTTAGTCCGGATCAGTAACACACAGAGGGAAAACATTTATGCAATGTGATTACATTAATGTCAAAGCACAGATACTGACTTTTGTTTGACTGCTCTCAGAAGCTTAAAACAAATGTTCAGCAGAATTAAACCCTACAGTGGCTGAACAGAGCTGCAACTAACAGTAATGGACTAAAACCCCAAATTACTCAATTTACTATCAAATCTGATGAAAAAAAGCAGCAAGTTCTGATATTTTTAGAAGCTGGAACAAGGAAACAATTAGTATTTTGCCTTGAAAATAGACTATTAATTGATTAGAGCAGACAGTGCAGCACAAAACTCCCAGGACTTAGGACACTGCAAAGATACAACTACCTCACCAAATGCACATCTAACACCTTGGCATGCTGGCGACTGAGCGCTATTGAAGGACTGGAGGGGTGGCTGGTTTTAATTATGGAGACGTGCTGAACTGGGAGTGAGCCAACTTTCAGTGTCACAGTCTCGCCCTCCTTTCCTCTGGTTTCTGGCTTTTTGTTCTCCTTGGTCACTTCTTGCCTCTCGACCTGTACAATTTCTCTTCCTTTCCCTTCCAGTTGTTTTTCCATTCCATCATTTATATATGTATTCCCTTTGAGCCGTTTGCTGTTGCTCTATTCCTCAACTTAACCCCTCTGTCTCTCCCAATCTCTCCGTTCACTTTCATGTATTCATCGTTCCCTTCCTGTTGTTCTTCCTTTGCTTCCTTTCCAGTGCCTTGCCCACTTCTCTTGCTGCTTTGCTGTGTTTTCTTCTCCTCTCTTCGCATCTCATTCTGCATTCCCTTTCATTCTTTATTCTTACTGTTGGCCCTTCATCCCTCTGGGTGGAAAAACTTTAATCCCATAACATCTTTAATAACAGATTCACACCAGTGCAGACATGACTTCCACAATGTGAGCCCCGTGATTTAGGGCTCAGATGAAAGTCTATGTGCATGTGATTTCTAAACAAGTTGAGCCATTTTTCTTCGATAAATGTCCTTTGGTAAAAGAAAGCGGTTGTAAAGAGCTTTGGTGCATCACACTGATTTGTTCTAGAGGAGCAAAAATAAGGCCCGAATTGACAGAGTAAATTTATTTGATACTTCACTGTCACACAAACATGAGATACATCGTCTGTTCACGTGCATGAGGTGACGCAGAGGTTCACCTTAGAGCATCCATCTCTGCTGATGCAGCTGAACTGGGTTTTGGTACCAACTAAGGCTAAAAGGATTACAGCTGTTTTTATGAAGGAAATAAATGTACAAAATGGTGAGTCAGGGAAAACTGTTCTCCGCCAAGATGAGTGTTCTTATTTAAATACAATTTTATAGCACTGACGGAAAAAAAAAAAACATGCAACTTGAGAAGAAAATTTAAAATTCAGGAGACTGAATTGAGGCAAATGGCTCCAGGCTTTCAGCGTGTTTAACATTTTTTGCATTCCTTTACCATCATCTGTCAATGACACATCAGGGAGGAAGATGCTTGCCAACATATGCACCAGGACCACCAGTTAAAATTCTCCAAATTGCTTTACACCCCAGGAATCGTGTGCTCTTTCTTAATCTGGATATTTAATTTAAATATTCTGAACTGCTTTGAGAGGAGAAATAAACAAAGCCTATGCTCCTGCATCCCACAACTTATTGAGTGAATGAAAAAAACGCTACAAAATTGATGTACTAACTACACAACTGCTTCTACCAGAATATGAACAACCCAGACTTGGTTTTAAGAGTTCCCAGGGAGGAATGCAGTCTGTTAGGCTCTTTCTTCTTGCAGAGCCCTGAGCCTGGAGGTCAGCCCAACTCTGACAGACGTCTCCACACTCCACTGAGGCGAGACGGATGGTCCCTGTCAGCGCCACACAGAGCCTGCTGAGCACGTCTCCTCACTGTGTGCACGTGTGTCAACAAGTTGTGTGAGACAAACAAAAGAAAACTAAACTCAGCTAATAAAGAAGGAGCAGTAGAAATAGAGTTTGCAGATTTACACTACTATAACTGTGTGTTTGTGGTGTGGTAAGGCAAAAACCTGAAACATACCTCAGTGCCGCTTCCCATGTTGGCACCTTTATCTGTCTTCCTCTTTCTCTGACCTACAGTGTTCTAGCAAACTTGAGTCACCTCGAACTGAGTAATTGAGTTTGAATTTATGTGTGCGGGCAATCATGTGTACCCACCAAACAATTCGGTTTCCTGGACTGGTCTGAGATCTGATACCTCTCTGTTGTCAGCCGGTCTGTGACTCACAGAGGAAATAAAACAAACCTCTAAAACCACTCTATGGCCAAAGATTTACGGTGACAAAATAAACGTGGGTTTAAAGTTTCGCAAACATGCTGATAGATGTTTAGACCATGAAACGCCACTAGTATAAAGAATTTGCTTTACAAGTTTATTTACTGCTGCATAAAAGAGCTGCTCCATATAATGCTGAAACTACCAGCGTCACAAGCGCTGGATGAGTTCTTTGATTTTGAAGTAATCTTTCCTTGGAAGGCAAAGCTCTTCTCCCCGCATCAAAAAAGTGCCTGTGCTGGATTTCAGCAGGTGATGATTTCTCTCCCTTATTTCCTG